AGGCTTGAGTTTGATCCCCAGGATCCATGTGGTAGAAGGAGAGAACGGACTTCTTCAAGTTGTCTTCTGACGTCCACGTGCACTCCATAACATGTATGCCCTGAACACGAACAGGTGAATTTGCGTGCACACACACTAAGTAGCTAAAACATAATTGGAAAAATTAATGTTGAGGTGCTGGAGAGATGGTTCAGAGGTTAAGAGCACTGGCTGCTCTTCCAGAGGTCCCGAGTTCAATTCTCAGCACCCACATGGTGGCTCACAACCATCTGTAATGAGATCTGATGCCCTCTTCTGGCCTAAAGGTGTACATGCAGATAGAGCACTTGTATGCATTAAATAAATAAATAAATCTTTTTTTTTTTTTTTTTTTTTAATTAATGTTGGAAGAAATTCAAGAGGCACTTGATTAGGAGATGATGTACACAGTAAGGGCAATCAGTCCAAGCTTGCATCTTTGGGATGGCCTTGAAATTCATATAGAACTCTTAAGGGACCTGAAGTAGCCACACAGTTATAGAAAGTGAAAAGGGAACTTGGAGGACTCACACACACACACACACACACTCTTCAGTAGAGGTGCCATAGGAATTGAGATTGACCCTCTTCTCAGCAGACAGTGCTGTGTGTCCACACACAGAAATGGAATTTGGACCTACAATTCACAGCTATAGTTCCTAGAGGAACAGGCAACAGACCTCATAACCTTGAGTTAAGTAATTTCTTAGATTTTGCGTGAAAAATACAAGCAGTAACAACCAACATATATTGGATCTCATCACTCCTCTGTGTGTGTGTGTGTGTGTGTGTGTGTGTGTGTGTGTGTGTGTGTGTGTGTGTGGTGGGGGAGGGGGGTTGCTGCAAGTTCTAGGCCAGCTGGGGATTTTAAAAAATTTTCTTTTTATGCTTCGAAGAATGACATCACTTAACACATGCCCCTGGGTTCAATCCTCAGGACTGGGAGAAGGGAGAAGAGAGAAAACCATCAAGGGAGAAAATATATGCTCAGAAAAAAATTACAAATTATGTGTATCCAGACTGTAAAAAAATAATGCTGGAGATTTCAGTGGTAGAGCACTTGCCTCAGATACACAAGTCTGTGGGTTCAGTCCTCAGCTGTGTGTGTGTGTGTGTGTGTGTGTGTGTGTGTGTGTGTGTGTGTGTGTGTGTCTGTGTGTGTGTGTGTGTGTGTGTGTTGAGAGGATGATTAAAACAGTAAAAGGTCAGAGATCCTGACACCTTTCTCCAAAGGTGATGTGTATTGGAAAGCCAGTAAGCACGTGAAGAGCAAAGTCAGCATAATCAGCCACCAGAGAATGTAAGTCAGTATGGGGAAAATCACTTCCTGTCAGTTAGGGACAGAACAGTGTGAATTGCATTGTGTGAGATTGGAGCTTTCACACTGCTGACAGGAGTGGGAAGTCTGATGTGAATTGGAAAACAGCAGTTCCTCAGTTAGCATGTGACTTAGCCATTCCATATGGGGACATGCTCCAGGGAATGGCTGTCCACACCATAACCTACATGGATATCTGGATCTTAGATAGTGTTGTCTCTAATAGTCAAGGCATTGCAGCAGCCACATGTCCGTCAGCTGATGAGGAGATTCACAAGTGTGCTCTGCACATTACTGGCATCTCCCCTGACCATGGATGGGGCTGGGTTTCAGAACATCCTCCAGGTGCTCGAGACTACAGATAGCAGTAGGCCCTGGCTGCCCATTTCCTCGGTCTGTCCCTGTGATGAGCCTCATTTGTAAGTTAGGCATAGCAAGAGATCAGTAGTAACTGATGATAAAATATTGAAACTATGCCATTGTAATGAAAGTTACTTGAAACTTCAGAAATCTTTAATTTTCCGCCTACCGATTTGAAAACACAGCAAAACCTCTGAAAAGAGAGGATACTCTCCTGTTTTGTATGAATTCAATTATAACAGCACATTATTGTGTAACTAGTTAAAAGACAGCACTTAATGCACTGTTGAAATCTTGATGCTCTCTGCCAAACCTGGTGACCTGAGTTCATTCCCTGAGATCCACATGGTAGGAGAGAACAGACCAGATTCCTGAAAGTGGTCCTCTGACAACCATGTGCACACCATGATACATACATGCCTCTTCATGTACGTACATACATACTGTCATAAAAAAAAAAACAAAAAAACATTTCAGCTGGGTGTAGAGTGCTACAGTCCCAGCATTTAGAAGGCGGAGGCAGGAGGACACCAAGTTCAAGGCCAGCAGGGCTGCATAGGGAGGCTCTGTCTAAAAACAATATGGGGCTAGAGAGATGGCTCAGCAGTTAAGAGCACTTGGCTCATCTTGCAGAGGACCCAGGTTCGGTGCCTAGCACCACGTGGTGACATACAATCATTTATAAGCACACACATTGTGCACGCGCATACAGGTAAATAACTTTAAAAAACAAAAGAAAATGACAAAAGTTTAAGGTAGATGTGGTAAATATATAATATACATATGATAATTATATAGTGTACATATGAATTAGAACATTACTGTATCCCATAAATGTTAGTAAAAAATGGGGGTGTCAGACAAATGTGGAGAGTCAGTCCACTAAAGCTCTTCCCCTTTGTTACAAAAGGCCATTGTGCCCCCTTTCAGCCGCTACATGAGCCACTACCCGGCTTGTTTTATTGGCTTTTTGAAACAAGGTCTCACTGCTATAGCCCAGGTTGACCTCATGCTCGGGCAGTTCTGCCCCTCCCCCCACTCTTCTGACAGACAGTGAACTTGCCATTATGGGTAACTCTGCCTTTTTGCGTTGCCAGTTTCATTTCCTTGGAGCTGTACCCCAGGTGGGATTGGTAGACTCCATAGAAATGGTGTTTTTAATTTCTGGGAAGCCAGCCAGCCAGCCAGCCATCCATCCCATTTTGGAGAATGCCTGTGCCCTGTATACTGCACCATCACCATATCCCTTTCTTTATCCTGGCCAACACTTACCTCTTGGGGTTTTGATAATGGCCATTCTGCCACGTATACAGTGGCTCTTCTTGTGGTTTTGATTTGTGTTTCTGTGAAGATTTGGTGATGTTATGTACCTTTTTTTTTTTTTTTTAAGATGTATTTATTTTATGAGAGCTCTGCATGTATGCCTGCACGCCAGAAGAGGGCATCATATTCCACTATACATGCTCTTAACCACTGAGCCATCTCTCCAGCTTCAGGTGTGCATTTCTTTTCTTTTTTCCCTTAGCAGGGGACATTGAGGTAGGGTCTCATGCTACAGTCCAGATTGGCCTGGAACTCTTAGCAGTCCCCTGCTGAGTCTCAAGTTCACAGGTTAGAAACACTGTGCCTATAAGAGCTTGTAAGCAGCAGGCTTTCCTGAGTCTGCCAAGTAACGTATACTCTAGTTGACAAAACCTCGGCTGACTCTGACAGGAAGCAGTGTTTGGGGTGTGTGTGTGTTTGTTTAATGTGTGTGTCATGGGCTTCTGTTTGCCACAGTGTGTGCAGAGGTCAAAGGACATTTTTGAGGGCTGGAGAGATGGGCTCAGTGTTTTAAGAGCACTGGAAGCTGGGTCTGCTCCCAGCACCCACATGGCGGCTCATCCATCAGTAACTGCAGTTGCAGGGGAACTGCTTCCTGGCCTCTCAGTACATCAGTCCACACGCATACATGCTGGTCAGATACTCTTGTAAATTAACAAGAATAAATCTTGGTTTTAAAAAGACCAACCTTGAGGCCGGGCAGTGGTGGCGCACGCCTTTAATCCCAGCACTCGGGAGGCAGAGCCAGGCGGATCTCTGTGAGTTCGAGGCCAGCCTGGGCTACCAGGTGAGCTCCAGGAAAGGCGCAAAGCTACGCAGAGAAACCCTGTCTCGAAAAAACCAAAAAAAAAAAAAAAAAAAAAGACCAACCTTGGGAGTCACCCATCTCCTTCCACCAAGCCTGGTCAGCCTGGAGCACGTTCCTCTATCGACTAAGGCATTCTTAGTCCATGTTTGAAGAAATACTGTGTTCTGTCTCTCTAGGGAGGAGGTCAGCCTCCAAGCTTCTTTGGGTAGTCTTCAATACATGGTGGTTATCTACTTTTTCATATACTTGTTTATATTCGCTTATTCTTTCATTAAGAAATTTATTATGATAGGGGCTGGAGAGGTGGATCAGTGGTTAAGAGCATTGCTGCTCTTCAGAGGGCCTGGGTTCGATTCCCAGCACCCACATGGCAGCTCACAACTGTCTGTCACTCCAGTTCCAGCAGTCTAACACCCTCACACAGACATATATTCAGGCAAAATACCAATGCATATAACATAAAAATAAACTGTTTGGGAGTTGTTGGTTTAGCAGGTAAGTGGCTGAAGCAAGATTGAGGTCTAAAACCCCGGCCCAGGTTAAATTTCTTTAAGGGGAGGAGAAAGAAAAGAAGGGGGGCAGGGAAGAAATTTGCTTTGAAAATTGGAATGTTCGGATATCGGTTGTAAACAGATAAGACACAGCTGGCATGCAGAGCTTGAAGTCTGTAGACAGGTACGTACGTACATGCGTACGTACGTACGTAAGCAGGAGTCCTGTACAAGGGGATGTATTGAATGATGTGGGTGAAGGGGAGGGAGGACGGCTTCCTACAGGGAGTGCATTGGAGCTGAGTGTTGAAGAACTGACAGGTATTTTCCGGGGGCAGAGCACCTCACCCTGTTCACAGCGAGAGGGTAGACTCTCCTCTTGGCTGCATCGACATCTTGAAGGATTAAGGGGCATTTGAAGGGATTCCGGGTGGTCTTTGCTGGTCTGCATGGTGCAGGCAGAGTCGTCTTCACTGTGAGACACCCATGGCTTTTGTCTGCTCCCAGAGCAGTCATTTGAAGTGCCAGTGCTTTGGTCTCTACCTGTACCTGGTGGGTACAGCCGGCCACAGCGGTCTGCCTGTGTGTCCTCTGGAGGACAGCCACACAGGTAGCCAGCCTCGGTAGTCATTGCGTTGGTGGTGCCTTGATTGATCTGAAACTCGTCAATCCTGTGTTTCAGGAACACGAATCATTTATGACCGAAAGTTTCTGTTGGATCGTCGCAATTCTCCCATGGCACAGACCCCGCCTTGCCATCTGCCCAATATCCCTGGAGTCACCAGCCCTGGCACCTTAATTGAAGACTCCAAAGTAGAAGTGAACAACTTGAACAACCTGAACAATCATGACAGGAAGCATGCAGTTGGTGAGGGGCTGGGCTGGGAGCGGCTCTGGGGTGGACTGTCACTTTACTGTAGACTAGGAAGTGTGGCTTCCAAAGCACAGCTGAGTTCGGTTACGTGTCTGACGTTTCCTCTCCTAAACAGCTACTAAAATGCTGTCCGTTTTCACTAGTTGCTTGGGGAAAACAAATCAGAGGATGGGAGCTAGATGGAGTGGTTTATGTTTTCAGTCCCAGCACTCAGGAGGCAGAGACAGGCAGATCTCTGTGAGTTGGAGGCCAGCCAGGGCTACATAGGTGCAGGAGTCTTCATTTGCTAGGGATCACCCTCATATAGACACAATTGCAGACATGCTGCCCCGAGACCTCCTTGCATGCACAGGTGTTCACATGCACACATACACCCCAAAGCAGAATCTTAGACCCCTGTTTCCATCAATCTCAGAAAATAAACCTGACTAGGTGGTGGTGGTGGCATACACCTTTAATCCCAGGTGGATCTCTGAGTTCAAGGCCAGCCTGGTCTACAGAGCAACTCCAAGACAGCCAAAGCTACACAGAGAAATCCTGTCTCAAAAAAGACAGAAAAGCACCAAACCTGCTTTCTGAATATAGAACGACTGATAGGAGTCTGCCTGCACCTTCAGAGCGAGATGAGGTGAGGTGGCCTTGTGCTCACCTCAGGCTTTGGGCTTCATGTTCTCTGCAGGTCCAACTGAGGGTTTTGTTTGTTTGTTGGCTTTTTGGGGGTGTGGGGGGACAAGATCTCGCTCTTAGCCAAGGCTAAGAGAATTCACTACAAAACCCAGATTGGCCTCAGACTTGCAGCTATCTCCCTGCCTCAGCTTCCGAGGGCCTGGATTCTGGGGGTAAGCTGTCATCCCCCACTGCAGCGGTCCAGTCAAAGCCTCCAGAAGAGAGCTCACTGGAGTGACCAGGACCTTTCCTGGAGTGGCCACTCTCCTCTCCACCCCCCACCCCTGGATGGGATCAGTCAGCCAGAACAAAATACATGAGGTTTTGTTGCTAAGACAGGGTCTCGCTGTGCAGCCCCGGCTCACCTCAAATGGACAGATTGAATTTGAGGGCTAGCATTACACTCGGGTAGGTATTGTGAGGTCACAGAGAATGGGACAGTTTGGGTTAGTTCTGTCCTTTGCAGGTAGAGAAGGATGTTGAAAACAGCTTTGCCATTTCTTTTTGCACTGAACTTCTCATCTTTTCCCTTCTGACCAGGGGATGAAGCGCAGTTTGAGATGGACATCTGACTGCAGCAGAGTCGAAGGAGGCTGGGGTGCAGCAGCCCGTGTGACCTGACTGGGCCAGCAGGAACGCAGTGAACCGAGAAGCAGCACATCCCCGTCCCCTCCCCTCCCTCTGGGTGCCAAATGATGGGAGACAAGCTCCGTCTAACCACATCTCCCCTGCCCCTGCCCAGTTAAGGTTAGGATGAAAGCCCTTGATTAGTCTGTGGAGCTGAGCGGTTGGTCCATAGAGGAAAGCAATCCCTGTAGCTTCCCTGGTCATTTCCCAAGAGTCTTCCTGCCCCCGTCAGATTTGCCCCAAGTCCAGGAACTCTCTAAGATGCACCTCTGCTCGGGGTGTCTGGAGAGGGAAGGAGGTTGGGTGCCCATTGCTCCTGTACAATCTCCCTCTGGTGGTTCAGTGCTGGATGTGAGGTCTTTAAACCATTGGGGGATGGTCAAACAAATGAGCTGCTTGCCCTGTCCTGGGAGATGTTTGTCCTCAGTACTGGAGCACAGCTCTATACCTCTTGCACCCCTGACTGCATTTTGGGGGCATGTGGCATCAGCCTCCCTTTCCTCTGGGAGGAAGGCTTCTGTCCTGAGTGGGATGGCTCATCTCCCCGGCCTTTTACCTAATTCATTGGCACGGGTATTTTTAAGCCCTCTTCCTGGAGAGACCCCTGGGTGATCAGCTGGTCTTTGTGTCTGCCATTCTTCCCGGCTGCACCGTGCAGGCAGAGTCGTCTTCTCGCTGAGACACCTGTGACTGTTGTCTGCTCCCAGAGCAGTCATTTGAAGTGCTTTGGCCCCCGCCTGCTGGGGACAGCCGGTCACAGCGGGCTGCCTGAGAATGCCCAACTGTGGCCAGCCTCAGCAGGCACGGTTTAAACCTGAGAGACCTTAGCATCTTTGCTGTCCTGCAGTTTATTATATTTTGAGTTTAAAGTTGACCCTTCCCGCCCCTGTGTGTTCCCCCCTCCTTTGAATCTGCTTTGTGCTTGGCTGCCAAGAGAGGAGTATGGGCTAAAAAAATGCGTTCCTCCCCGCTTCTTTACCCTCCTCATCGTAGTCCATCCTTCTTCTTCCCTTCCTCTTCTCTCCTTCCTTTTTCCCTCACTCTCCTTCTGGTTCATCCACCGGGCATTTTCCAAATCTGCGTCAAAGATACCTCCCATGTTGGTATCTAAGAATATCTGTCTCTTCTCTTATCAGAGGAGGGACCTTTTATTTTTAAGATGACTACAGACCTATTTTTAGATAAGTTTTCAGTACAATTTTGAACTGCAACTTTTTTAACAAAAACATCTTCCAGTATTAGGAAGGTTATTAAAAAAAAATGTTCCTAGGCAAGTCTGCTGTCTTCACTGTCCTTTGTCTCTCATAGTTCCTTCTGAGCGCTTCCCTGTGCTCTCAAGTTTGGGGGGCTATTGGAGTGTAGAGTGGGTGGTGTGTGAAACTGGACCAGTTTGCCTTGCTATGAGTTGTTGAAGAAAACTTCATCCTTTCCTTTACCTTTTTGCTCTCTTGCTCCTCCTCCCGTCCCACTCTCCTGGTACTGTGGACCCACGTGGAGATCCCAGGAGAGAGCTCCTCCCCCCCCCAGACAGGCTGGTGAGTCCTCCTAAAGAAAGACAGGGAAGCAGCCACTGGTGTCCTGGTTGTTTCTGGTTGTATTGGATGCCTGTCTAAGCCCTCTTAGTAAGATTTCAGATCCCCGATGGCTGGGAAAGAAAGCTGTGTGTTTTTCCTTTGAACCATGGAAAGACCCTGTTTTGTGAATACTTTAGGAAAAAGGAAGGAAGGACATCTGCAGAACTTGGTTCTAGTTTCTGCCACACAATGTGAATAGCTCGGACTGCAACCCTCCGTGACGGTCGCTGTCTCAGGAATAAGCTGGGTCTCCAATGTTTGGGGATTCTTGGAGTCTCCAAGTTGATAATCAGAAGAGTTTTATTTCTTTGTTAAATGTATCTGTTGTGTTTTTAATTAAACTCCAAATTTCATTTTATGGAGTCTTGGGAAAACTTAAGTTGTGCTGCCATTGGCTTATATAAGCAGCTTGCTCAGGACCTCTGTACCCTGGAGCTTCATTCTTCGGGAGCAAGGCTCATGGTTCTTCGCACGTTGGTGGTGGCACTCTGGACTCACTCCAGCTGAAGGGAGGAGGTGTGAGTGTCAGAAGAATATCCCTTCCTGCAGCAGAGTGCCTTCCTGGACTCACAGCTGGGAAGGGAGTTGAGACATGGGAATTGAGTAGGATCGCGACACCTCCCCTTTTCTTGTCATCCCCCCTCAATCAGAAGACATGTCTCGTATTCCTTGGAGTGTCACCTGCGTGGTGCAGGATCCTCTTAGCCTTATGTCCTCTGCCGGGACCCCTCACTGTTGGGTGCAGGCCTTGTATGAAGGACGCCATTGCTCATTCTTTGACCTCCATAAATCAGCATTGTAGGAGAATTGCACAAGACATGAAATAAGCTCCCAACAGATGGTATCTTTGTGCTGTGCCTCATGAGCCATTTTCTAGTAAGCAGGGCCCAGTGGGGCTTCACCTCTGGGTGGTCAAAAAGCCTCACAGCTGGAGCCCCAAATGGAGGACAGAGTCTTAATCTGCCAGCCTCCCTCCTACCTGAGTGAGACTTATTTAAATCATAGTAACCATCTGTGCTTTCTATGAAGGATGTGTTTCTGCACTTGGGACAATCAACCTAGATGAGGAAGAACCTCCATAGCAGGAGACACACCAGCAGTGCCCTTCCTTCAGAGTTCCCAGCCCTCATGGTCTGCTGAAATAGGTGTTTCCTTGCCTTCTCCAGGGCCCTGGAGTGGAAAAGCTGACTTCTAGGCAAGAGTCTGTCCTGCCTGCTTGAGTTATCTATTGCTGTGTAACAAATCACCTGCAAGAGTCTGTCCTGCCTGTCTGAGTCCTCTGTTGCTGTGTAACAAACCCTGCAGCTCAGTGTTTCACAGGAGTCACTGTCTCTGAACTAGGTCGGGGGCTGCTCTCCTCTGGAGCTGGAGAATCCCACTTCCATACTTTGTTTTTGTGGTTGTCAGCAGGGGGCCGTCCTTGGTCACCCCCCATGTGGGTCTCTAGCTATCCTGCCCTAGCATCTGGCTTCCTCCTGAGTGACTGATCCCAGAGAAGGAGGTGGGTAAGAAGAAAGTCGCAGTGCCTTTAAACCACCATACCCCACCAGGAGGAAAACGTCCTCGGGAAGGTGGGGATATTCACAGCCACAAGCTGGGTGCACATTGCTCTCCAAACAGCCCCTAAGGTAGGACCAAAGGGGGGTAAAAGACAGACTTCTCTTTCCCCAAGGCTGCCTGTGTGTCTTCAGAGAGGCTGCAGGAAATGAGGATTCCCAGATCCCTTGCATCCTTGTCTGTCTGCCTGTCTTCCTTTAGCCAAGAGTTGACAGAAGGGCCTGGGGGCCTTCCCGTGCAGCCACACAGGCCTTCTCGACTGGAGCAGGGCTTGTCAGAGGACACAGAGGGCTCTAGATGTTAGGATCAAGAGCTGCAGAACAGAAAGTAGATCCTGTTCCTGGTCCGTGCATTGGTCACGGTGTCCCGCCCGCCCACCCACCCACCCGGAGTAGCGTCTCCATAAGCCAGGAGCACCTGAGAATGCACTCGTCTGTGAACTTGATCGCCTTGTCAGTGCAGCATGCAGAGTAAATAACCTGTTGCCTCCTGGGCACTTGGCTGCAAAGTGTGCTCTTGAAAAGAAGCAGTCTTGTTTTCACCCGTGGGGGAAGCTTAAGAGGTAGCTCCCCCGTGCCTCGGGGCTCATGGAGTGGCGACTCGTTCCCGCCAGCCATTCTCCCGTCCTTGGATGGAGGCTTGTGTGAATTGGCGCTCTGTCCTCACTAGCGTTTCTTTCTGTAGCCATGCTTGCTTTAGTGTGTACTTCAGGTACTGGTGGTGACTTTCCTTCGCATCTGAGGAGGGTGGGGGATGGGAGCTTTGTGTTACTGTCTCCTTGGGCCTCTCAGACCTTGGCAGTTCAGTTGGCTTCCACTGAAAGTCCACCCGGCCTGCTTGTACAGACTGCCACTGTGAGTTGGGGCAGGAGTGTACCAGGCTCAGGTGTTGGCAGCCACGTATCGGGGATGGAGCCTCCTTCCCATCTCCATCTTGGGTGCTGGCTGCTTGAGGTGGGTGTGTGTGGTGTAACCCTTCTTAGTCCCTCTAGAGGAAAGGTACCACTGTCTTCTGTAGTTCAAGTTCTTTGGTGTGTTTTCTGGACTCCATGCCCACGGCAGCTATTTATTAATCTGCGAAAACCCAATCACTGACCCATCCTTACCATGGAAGGTGGGATTTGTAGTGGAGGCATATCATTTCTTCCTGGGGTGGAGGGTTCTGTCTGAACTTCTGAGTAGGGCACGATTACCTACGGCTCCTTGCCTCACCTTTTAGGGGCGGGATTCTGGTTCCTGTAGTTGAGGACATGCTTCTGGCTTTGGTGATGGGTCTCCACGTCAGTGGTGGACTTTATTGAAGCTAGCTCACAGAAACTTGACTGAAGTCTGTAAGGATGACTGGCAGGTCTTTGTTTTCCCAGTTGGTCAATGAAGATACCTTCCCCACCCTCGGAAACTGTAGCTGTCTCTTAGGCAGGTCCTGGAAGCTGCTGCCTCTTGGCAGAGCTTAGCTTTCAAAGTCTTGGGGTGGTCTGTGGTCTCTGCTCAGTTCTTCCTGCAGCCCTAGTGGCCATCCTGTGTGCCCAGTGGAAGAGACTACTGAGCTGAAACAGTTCCCAGCCGATAGGAACTCGGGTTGACCTTTCAGCGGTGGAGGGGTGACAGAGGCCGAGTGCTTGCTAGACACTTGGCTGTGCAGATCTTGCCAAAGGAGCTCCTGCCAGGGCTTCCGACCCAAACCCAGGGCATTGCAAACTTAGAGAATTCCATGAATCCAGCACAGAATGCCCATTTTTGCCTCTCTATACCCCCTTCCTTTCCGTTTCAGTCTTAAGAACTGCCCAGCCCAGGCCTGGGGGTTCTGACTGGAGGGCAGGACAGTGGGGACACCAGCAGGAGGTAAGGGCCAGCGGGACCACACTGGCTCACGCCAAGCCTTTGCCCCACTTCATGGCACCTGGGCCAGCTCCAGTAAGCCTTAAAGAAGGCAACTCGAAGAGCCCCAAGGACTCCAATTCCAGTTGTCCATTTTCAGAATCTGTGTTTGCAGATAGACCCGACCCTCTTCCCTGCTGCAGTCTTAACCATGTGGGATGGAATCTTTCCTTGGTCCTTCACTTTGTTCCCCTGGTGTGCTCTCCCCTCCCTCCCCTCCCTTCATTCACTGTCAGCAATGGTTAGTGGGAGGTTCCATGCACCCCTAAGACAGTCCTGTGGGAGTCCATTGCCAGTTTGTTTTCTTCTGTCCTTCCAAGCTAGCAGGTGTTTGGAACCAGGGAAAAATTCCCACCAACTGTTGCTGTTACAGTTAAATAAAGACCTTGAATATTGACTTGGTGTTTTGTCTTGCTGGGCACTGAACCCTGAATTTCACATATGCTACAGGCACATTCTACCACAGAGCCAGCCTGAAGTTTTTTTTTCCTTCTCTGGAAGCAAGGTTTCACTTGTGGACCTGGCTCTCCTGGAACGCACTCTGTAGACCAAGCTGGCCTCCAACTCACAGAGATCAGCCTAGCTCTGCCTCCTGAGTGCTGGGATGAAAGGCGTGCACCACCACCAACTGGCCAGCATAAACTTGCTATGTTAAGTTTTTTGTTTTTGAGACAGAGTCTCACTGTAGCTCTTAAATGACCTAGAACTTCTCATATAGACCAGGCTGGCCTTGAATGCAAAGAGATCCACAAGCCTGAGCCTCCCAAATGCTAGGATTAAAGGTGTGCCCCCCACCACCTAGCTTTTTTTCTTTCTTTCATTTTATTTATTTATTTAAATTCAGATATCATGCTTGGTTCCCACCTGTAACCCCAGTGCTTAGGAGGCTGAGACAGGAAGATTGCTAAAAGTTGGAGGCCAAGCCGAGTGGTGCTGGCGCACGCCTTTAGTCCCAGCACTTGGTAGGCAGAGGCAGGTGGATCTCAGTGAGTTCAAGGCCAGTCTCTTCTACAAAGAGAGTTCCAGGACAGTCAGGGCTATTACACAGAGAAGCCCTGTCTTGAAGAACAAAACAAAGTTAAAGGCCAATCTGGGCTACACAC